GGTTAAGGGAACTTAATAGCTGACCAAGATGATAAATATAAATGCTAAAAAGCAGGGGACCAAGGACTGAGCCCTGTGGGACACCAGTACAAACAGGATCCACATCAGATCAGAAACCATCCATAAAAACAAATTGACTGCGACCCGTTAAATATGACCTAAACCAATCTAGGGCAGTCCCAGATACACCAAAGACACTTACATATGGTGTACTTAACCATATTTTGGGTACAAATTTGTACCCAAAAGTGAGCAAAACCTGACAAAATCGCCAAAAACCTCCCTTTGGGGACGTCCTCATATGTAAAACTGGTATAAAAATAAAGTAAACAAAGTATTTTTGAAATTGTAAAAATGCAGAAAGTTTTCTGTGAGGGGTAGGGGTGGGTTTAGGTTAAAAAGTGTATAACTATCTGTATATAAAAACTATAGAAGTCTATGTAATGTCCCCATTTAGATAGCTAAGTAAGTGTGTGTGTGTGTGTGTGTGATTGAGTGTATGTGTGTGTGTGTGTGTGTGTGATGAGAGAGCAGATGACAGATCTCAGTGTGTAAATTCATAGACACACAAACAGAACCACTTCAGAGAGAAATAAAACAACCATTTAAACAAAACCGAAAACGTGAAGCACAAGCGCATATTGAAGCGTGGATGTCGAACTGAACGGTTCAATATTACATTGAGAATTGTGGCCTCCTGAGTTACAAGAGAGCGGTGAGTGTGCGGTTTTTATAGAGGTTTTTATGAGGAATTTGACACTGGACAGACATTACAGACATATGAGAAAGAAGGAGACCGCATCTACTGTCAGAGAGTGAATATCAATCCGTGTGTCCAAACAGCGCTTTACACGATACAGACTGCTTCAAAGCTTGTGAAATTTATTCATTATAAAACAACTTTAAATTCAGCTTCTCAACAGAAGACAGCAGTCATTATTCAGATCAGATTCAGTTCAGTTCAATAACCGTGTCAATGCTGCAAAGTTCATCAACGGTCTCATTTTGTCACAAATGATTTTCTCATCTGCCACAATGATATAAATCAGTGAGGCTTTGCTCAAATATGAATATATTCAAATAAATGTTCATGAATGGACTTGCAGTCGACCTCGTATCATACAGAGAGATGATGCGCGTCAGAATCAAACTCAGAAAGCCTCACCTCGCCGGCGAAGAACAGCTTGCCCTGCACGTCTTCGGCGATGATGTCATAGGCCTCGCCGCTGCCACCCGTCTTCACGAAGCTGTAGGACATCTGAGCCCACGGGTCTCTGCTCCAGCGGGTCACCAGGAACCGCAGCGGATCCGGAACCTCCTGCAGCAGAACCACAGAGTCTGTGACGGTCCTCACGGCAGCAAGACCACAAACTCAGCTACTGTCAGGATCCTAATAAATGAGTCACCTGCTCCTGGAAGAGCTCTCTGAGGACACTCATGCACAGATCCACCACCTGAGAGTCCTGAAGATCTCTGAGCAGAGACAGAGCCTCGCCGGTGACCACCGTCATCAGCACACACTCGTCACCCTGCACACACACACACACACACACACACACCTCAATAACCCTCCGGTCTGCCGCAGATATCACTACATCAAGCACTTACCACCCACAGAATACACAAATCACGTACATTTTATCATCATTTCCAAACCTGCATGAGTTTCCTTCTTCTTTTGAAAAATGTAAGTAACCAAACAGTTGCTGGTAGTATTTGTTTCCATACTATTGAAGTCGATTGCTGCCGGCAGCTGTTTTTCCCCATCATTCTTCAAAATCTCTCTTTTTGTGTTCAGCAGAAGAAAGAAACCCATAAAGATTTGGAACAAACATGAGGGTGAGCATTGTCAATTTTAGGGTGAACTGTCCCTTTAAGAGCTTAAACTTTTAGAATTCTTCAAGGTGTATGTAAATTTATGACCGCAACTGTGGAAGCGTGTTGTGCAAGAAACATTAGTAAAACATCACATTTAATACTGAATTTGATCAGCATGTTTCTGAGGGTTACTCTTATTTCACCAACCAAAAGCAAACAACAAAGCTCTGTTTTGTAGCACACACGTGTGCAGAAACGAGCGGCGCACCTGCGGACACATGTCGTAGAACACACTAAACAGGCCTCTCTTCTCCGGACAGGGCGGGATGTGGCCGAAATAATCCGCTCCCTGGATTTTACTGTCCCAGAAGCGTGTGGGGAACTGGAGCGCCACCTGAAACACAGCGTCGAGCGGTGAGCGCTTCAGCGGGCGAGAGACATTAACAAACACTGACACGAACACTCGCTCACCTTCTCAATGACTCCGGCTCCCAGACTGTGGATGGCTTTGAGCTTCCTGTCAGGCAGAGGAGGACTGAAACCAATGATGCTCTTCTGCAGCAGAGCCAGCGGCACCGTCACCAGAACCTGTGACACACAGCAGCCGTCAGAGCGACGTGCTCACGGGAGCGGATGAGGTGTAGGAACAGTGTGAGTGTGTGTGTGTGAGTGTGTGTGTGTGTGAGTGTGAGTGTGTGACGAACCTTCTGTGCGTTCCAGCGAGAGCCGCAGCGGGACGTCACCGTCACTCCCTCTCCAGAATAGTCCACATGCTGCACCTGCAAACACACAGCTGAGTGTGAGCGGATCAAAGCGTAACGCCGGTGAAAAGCAGCAGGTGTGTGTGAGTGAGTGTGAGGTGAAGTACCGCGGTATTGAGCCGGATGTCGAGTCCCTGAGCGAGTTTGTGCAGGACAGACGAGTATCCGTCAGCGAGCAGCGTGTGATCTCCAGAGAACTGAGCGAAACACTCGTTATGATCCCACGAGCACGCCGACACCTGCACACACACACACACATATGAACATCCCACTCTCACACACACACACACACACTCTCACACACACACACAAACACTCACAAACACTCACACACACACTCATACACAATCACACACACACTCTCACACACACACACACACAC